CTCCTCCTCCTCCTCCTCCTCCTCCTCCTCCTCCTCCTCCTCCTCCTTCTTTCTTTCCACTGGGAATGCAGAGGGGACCTCCGTGTGCATCCCAGAGGAAATCCACGGGGCAACATTCCAGTCTTTGTCTGTGAGAGTCCACTCTTCTGCCAGTGTGATGCACAGTCTTGGTTTCTAGGGACAGTTTCGGGGATATTAAGCAGAGGTTTATCTTCAAGTCACTGGAGTTATTTTTGTTTTCGTTAGCTCGGACTATTGTAATGAATGCAAAGGCACTGGCGGGAACAAGGCTTTTATTATAATACGAGGGTGAGGATGGCTTTGACTGACCTTTCTTCTGCTGGAGTTTCAGTGTTTTAGTCTGTGCTGCTTGTGCTGGAAAGAATTTATAATCACAGGCTGTCAAAGACAGCCATTGTTCTCCCTGCTCTGAACATGTGGGTCAGCCACAAGTGCCTGTAGCTCCCCCAACGCCAGGAGCTGGCGGAGAGAGAGCATGCCTGGATTCTTCTGTGGCATCAGGAAAAGCATTTTGCATATTTTTCATTGCCTTTTTTTTTTTAACTTTTGCCTCAGAAAGACAGCTCGCTTTCAGAGCAGGAATTTCCCTCCAAGGTAGCAGGAGGTGGAAGCATGCCGCTCCAGGATTTTACAGCTCCGCCTGTGTTTGCCAGATACCATAACCCCGGGGCAGTGGCACTGAACTAGGGACTCGTCTGTCCCACAGACATGCCGTTATGGATCCTGAAAGACAGGTCAAAGATTTTGTCTTTGTTGTCAACGATCATTGCATTCTTATGAATCCAGACTTTGTGATTCTCTGTATTTAACTACTTAAAAAAAAAAAACTTTATGGGATGTGAGTTACTTGGGGATTTTTTTTTTAAAGTTGTGCATGCTATTCTAATTGAAAGGATGGAGCAGAAAAAACTTGAGGAATTGAGTAGTCACTGTGATGCTCATTACTCTCTTCAGCTAACCGCTACGACTTTTCCACACAGATTGTCCATGCAAGTAATCTTTGCAGACCACTGGAAGCCGGATAGGTTATATATGTTGCAGTCATATCTGAAATTCTTTCGTTTTATTTTGGGACAGGAGACTGACGACATTGAGAGTCCTAAGCGCAGCATCCGTGACAGTGGCTACATCGACTGCTGGGACTCTGAACGCAGCGACTCCCTCTCTCCTCCTCGCCACGGCCGGGATGACTCCTTTGACAGCCTGGATTCTTTTGGCTCCCGCTCCAGGCAGACACCTTCACCAGATGTAGTTCTCAGGGGAAGCAGTGATGGTAAGGTTTGCTCTTCATACACCGTAACATCTTGGAATTAATCATTAACAAGGAGTTTCAGGGTCAAGGGTAGAGAGCTGGGAGCTTGCAAAGGCAAACTCCATATCCACCTGGCTGGAGCCTGGTAATTCTATAAACTGGTAGGGAGGGGAAAAAAAACCCTCTCTGTTATTTTTGATGGCTTTCAGATTTTTGATTGGCTGAGCTGGCGGCTCCTTTGAATGCTGCCTCAGTGACCATGTCTTCTGTTGGAAAATGTGTTACATCATTCTTCCCTGGGTCTCCCTGAATCGAGATGCTGTGCAGACCATTAGCTCATAAAGTATGCTGAAGTTTATATACTGTGGGTACAAGGAAGGGAAATGTTTAGTGAGGAACACACTACATAAGCAAAAATGGTACTGCTACCCAGCGAGCTGGACATATGCTTTATGTCCTTCAGAAAGCTCTAGAGTCTGGGGCTGTGCCCTTCTTGATTGGCACCTGTTTTATCAATCAGTTTGATGCTTGGTGGGTCTGACTGGTGGGCAAGTTTGGTGCAAATGGCCATGAGTGCATAGTGTATACCCAGGCTGCCTATTGGCCTCAAGGCTGGATTTTTTTTTATTTAAACCCTGTGAATTTGATTACTTGTATGGAATGATCAATATTTTCTTTACAGAAATGTGTGGTCCTGGAGCCTACCGTGAGTTCAGTGGCTGCCGTTAAGAGTGGCTCTCCTGTGCCTTTGACTTTTCAGGAGGCAGGTGGCTTGGTCCTACATGTATAAACTTGTAGAAAGACAGCGAGGCTGGTGGGGAATTTTTTTGTTGTTGTTATTTCTATTTTTGTATATGTTGCTGTGATAGTAATATTTTTGGACATTCTTCTACTGTCTGAGATTAAGATTATCTTTTGTGGCCACAGTGTTACTTTCTGACATAAAATTCTTGTAGTAATTTTTGTTGTTATTGTTGTTTGTTTGTTTTTGTGAAGTACTAGAGATTGACCCTAGGGCTTTTCAAATTCTAGGTGAGTGCTGTACCACTGAGCTATGCAAGTCACTGTCATACTTGAGTATTTTACATGTCCATGTTCTAAGTTAGACACCTAGCACACAGTATCTTACTTAATGTTCAACATAGACATCTAATCACATCTTAATTCATCCTTCCTCAGAGCTGGGAGACACTCCTTGTCCTTGTTTTATAGATGTACCTTCAGGAGTTTAAGTCTTTGTTCCAACATTTCAAAATGACAAGAATCACTGAAGGCCTGGTAGTTTAGCTCTGTCAGTCTCAAGAAGTGTGGGTCCAAACTGGTATTCTTAATTTGCCCAGGCTACTTTGCCCCATAGAAGCTGTATTCTAGAGTCTCTGAACAAATGTGTCTGCTCAGAACGTACATTTTTCAGCAGACAGATTAGCCTCGGGGCCACATAGCCTGTGACTCCTAAAGAATTCCATGGTACATTGTGAGCTGCTTGAAAAATATTTCTGAAATTTTATTTGACATCTTAAGTACCACCCACAGCACTAGAAGTTAAAAATACCAAGTGTGTGATCTAATTACGCTTTCACAGGACCCAAGCATGGCTTTGCTTCTATAGAACCCATCTCAACCAAACCATTCCACCCATATTGCTTGCTTCAACTTTTAAAAAATAGGACCTTTCCAACTTTTTTTCTTTTTTCATAACTGGTTCTTTGTCATGGGGTTTAGAGTTTACATCACATCTTGAAAGGATTTGAGATGGTGGTTAGTAATACTAAACTAAAATATCCCAAAGCACAATTTAGTAGGAGCAATTAAGGCTGATAAATCAGAGCCTACTTATAAATGCTTTCTCTGTCAGACAAACAATGTGGAATACAGCCTTATCTGTCCCTCTCACAAACTGCATCTTCTACACGTGTCACCAATCTGATAGCTTAAGGCTTATCTTCCTGTAAACTAATCAAGACCTAGTGAAGTTTTAACAACAACAACAAAACATTTCTTAATCTTTCTTTTAAAATTCAGTATAATTTTTTCCAAATACATATTAACAATATAAGACTTTTCTGGTATTTTTTTTTAATGAGGCTAATCAGTTAAATGTTAGTTCTAATGAATGGTTGCACATTTGGAAGACTTTTTTTTTTTTTAAGTATGTCTTGAAAATTTTTGTCCCAAGATTCACAACCAACTTGGGGGCAGCTTTAATATGACATTCTTTGCCTTTATATTGGGTTCATATGGACGGCTTCAACTTTGCTATTACGATGGGTAGCCACTGACCAATTCAAAAAGGACAAACCACATTCATAAGTGTCATGATTTTGTGAGGTGGATACAGTTTTCTGGTAGGAAAGCTGTAAACCCCAAGGCTTGCTTCAGCCAGTTTATCTTGCCAGCCAGGTACCGAGCGCCTCCTTCAGACTTTATTAACAGACTCCATAGCCTCCACAAAACTCCACAAAACAGCAAACATAACCTTGTACTCACGTACATTGAAATAGGTAACATATCATAAATATGGTTCATTGCATTTAATTCAGTATCCCTATGTTTTATCAAAAAGATGTGTTACAAAATGGAAACAAAGGATAAGCGAAAGTGAAGCGCCAGAAGAAAATGAAGAAGTGTTTGTGACTTGGGAGTATTTGGCAAGTGGTGGAAAGAAGAGGCAGCAGGAGAGAGGGCAGGGAAGCAGAATAGATCTAATTGCTTGTAGCCACATGGAAAAGAGGAGTGAAACTTTGATAAAATAATAATGTGCCCTGTGCTCTCTTCTGTTTTCCTAACTTTGAACATTCAGAGAGAAGCCAACTTAGTAAATTTCCACATCCACCAGATGAGGTGAAATCAAAATCTTTTGCAAGTCTAGCCTGATAGTGTGCAGGCACACTGTGCCAGCCTTTCTGAGGTCCTCACAGCACTCGAGGGGCTTGCGAGTGCTCTCTCTGGTAGGCCATGGGAACCTACAGTACAGGGACTTTAAACTCCCAGGGTCACGGAGCCAGCAAGGGGTGGAACTGAAAGGCTGTGCTGGCTGTAAGTCTATGAAGCTGCCAGACCCACAGCTAAGCTGTTCTGCCTTAGAACACTGGCAAATTAACATTCTTTAAAATGTCTATTGAGACAATCCTGAAGATTAATTCAGTAGAGGAAAGGGCTGTGTTTACATGCTAACATTTCTTAATAATATGTTTGATAATATTTTAGCTATTATACGGAACTATGGCCCGCATACTATAGGTTTTTAGAACTGAAGACTCCAAAGCAACTGCAACTGTCACTAAGCTGTCTAGTAGATGGAGAATTACCTGCTTTTGTTCTTTTATCAGCACAGGGTCGTATTTCCCCTAGTCAGGACATTTTAAGAAGACATTTTTCTCAGTGTTGAGTGCTGACAGGATAGAATTTTGGGTGTCTCGAGAGTAGACTCCAGTTTCCCTGAGCCAACACTAATCAGCCACAGGAAGGGGAGGCCCCCTGTAGCCCCTCTAAGCCCATTTCTATCACTATAAAGAGAGGCTCCTATCAAGTGGAGAAACAAATCCTCATGTTGGCAAGGCAAGGCAGTGTGAGTACTTGTTTACAGGCAACATTTTATTCTGACGCTGACAGATACACTTGTTAAGACTTGTTGCGGGAAGGGAGCTAAGTAATGAGTCAGACACTAACAAGTCAGGAAATGGCCAAAACTTCAGGAGAGAGGCGGTAAGCAAGCACCATGAATAATTCATAGTCTGGATAGTTCACGTACAGTGAGCAACTTGTTCACAGCCGATACTTTAAAGTCACAGTCTTTTAAATGTCACTATAGGATCTGATCTCCAGGGTAAGTCCTTTCATTCCAGTCTCACAGAAGGGGACAGTCACGTGTCTTAGAGACAACTTAGGAAGCCACAGCTCCCATCTGATGGGTCTGGAACTGTTACAACATAAAGATTAGGCAGCATACATTACACTCTTAGTGCCAGATACTGGTCCAATAGTCATAGGTGGATTCAGCCCTTCCAGTAGTTCTGTAAAGCAGATGGCATTATTGTCCTCATTTTACAGATTGGAAAAATGGAGGCTTCAGTAGTCAGGTTAAAGACAAATGAATAGCAGGGCGAAATGAAGTGGATCTGATCTAAAACCTGGCATGCTACCCCTCTCTGCCTTGTTCCAGGTCTTGGCTTTCTTCTTAAGCATAAATGTCTTTGTTATCAGCAGAGTCAGAATGACGTCATGCTTGCATCCATTGATTAAGAGTTCAACCAGCATTAAAATAGTGGTTAGTTAAACGATCATGTTTATCTTAACAATAGCTTCCTTATAACAGACCATAGAAATCTAAGAACATGAGACTCGGGCAAAAAGGATATTTTGGAATTATTGGGGCTGTTATCTAGGAGCAAGACTGACGTTGACAAAGCTGAATTCCTTTGCAGAAAGCAAACAAACAAAAACACTTTCAGGCAAACCATTTCCTGTATCCGAGTTTGAGATGCCCATTGACAGCATTGGCGTGCTTTAGAAGCCGGATGCTGGATAGCTCTTGTTTTCAAAATGAAGGGAAGAAAAAACTGTGCATGGGGGTGGGGGGATATGACGAAGAGCTGGTATGGACAGCAGGACAAAAATTGTGCCAGATCACAAACTGGGAACATCCCATGAAGAAGAAGATGTAAGCTCTTGGAAGACCAACCCTTAGTGAAGTCCAACTTGTCATCTTTCTGTCTTTCTCATCTGTCTCTGCTAACTAGATTATAATTTACATCTTCACCATGTTCTGAGGCAGGGTTAAAGATAGACAAAGACAAATAATTTCTAATGTATGCTTGTCAGAATGTCTAGAGCAGTGGATTCTGGCTAGAGAGAAGTACAATCCTCACTGGGGAACCGCTGAGATTTTGTTTTGAGTGGCCAAAGCTCCAAGTTGGTCAGGCGAACAATTCTACACAAATGTGTCACTTACAGCCACTCCTGCCACACTTAAACTTACCTTTTTTTTTTTCCTAAAGTCATGCTTGTAGTTTTTTTATTTCCTCACTGGAATTTGAGGCCTTTATCCCAAGGAGGCTAATTTAGACTCATATTATCCAAGTTACTAACTCAAGTTATGAATTCCAGAACACACGAGAGTTACCCTTGATTCTACAGAGATGTCATTGAATGTTTCTGCTGCCCCGCACACTTTTATCAGTGTCCATCCTCTGTTTTCCAGGAAGAGGAAGCGATTCTGAATCAGACTTGCCTCACCGGAAGTTGCCAGATGTGAAGAAAGATGATATGTCCGCACGACGGACTTCTCATGGTGAGCCGAAATCAGCAGTGCCTTTTAACCAGTACCTCCCGAACAAAAGCAACCAGACCGCCTATGTCCCGGCGCCTCTGAGAAAGAAGAAGGCTGAGCGGGAGGAATACAGGAAGAGCTGGAGCACGGCCACCTCCCCCCTGGGTGGGGAAAGGCCCTTCAGGTAGGAGTGAGGTTTCAGTTCTTTGGTGTACCATTACGAAGGGATGTAAGTGGCCAATGCATCCCAGAGAGCTTGTCATAAAATGCAGATTCATAGAGGTCCCTAGAATCATGCCTGGTGCATAGTAGGTCTCCATCAAATCCTTCACTGAGGAGCCGGTGCTCTGAGGCCAGTTCCATGGACAGAATGTGGAGAACACATGTCACTCGTGGCCTACTGTGGAGGTTGCCTGATTTCTGACCCTGTGACAGTGGATGTACAAAGATTGTACAAAAAGAGTCTTAATGCACTTATATAGAGCAAACTCAGATAAAGAGAGAAAGCTTGTAGACAAATGGCAGAATAAATACAAGATGTCTTTTCTCTTAGAGAAGGAAACTATTAATGTCCATATTAATATACATATTTATTCTGCAAGTATTTGTTGAGTGTCTATTATATGCTGGGTGCTGTATTGGGGGGTTAGGGGCCCAATAGTAAGATACTAAGAAACAGGTCCTGCCTTTATAAGGACTTAACATTTCACTATTATTATCTACGATTTCCCCATTAAGGAAATGTTTCTTAAATTTTTTATGTATTGATCAAAACTAATGGATTTTACCTTTACAGTAGAAAAGGGTTTTTTGCTTTCAATATCAAGTTTGCGAGAGCCGTTAATCAGTATGGAGGAGAAACGTGATATATTAATTAGCTACACTAAATTGACCCCACCTTAGCTGCATCCTATCCTGTGCTGTGACTACTTTTTCTAAGCTAAAAGTGATATCAAGATGTCTTGGAAGCAATGCCCAGTCTGTTCCCTGACCTGCCTGTTAGCTTGGTAAAACCATGTTGTCCAACTCACTAGTTACCCTGAAACCATAGAGGAGGAGGGAAGTGAAGCAGGGTCTCCCACTGAAGATGACCCCAGCAGCCAGATGGGCCCTGATGGGAAGCCTGACTGTGGGTTAGAAGCTCCTCCCAGCAGTAGTGAGGAGCAGTCTCCTGAGGATGTTGCTGCAGTGCCAGCAGCTATTCCCGAAGACAGAGATGCCGTGGAAAGCCAAAAGCGTAGAAGGCTGGAGCAAGCTGGGATCAAGGTCATGCCTGCAGCTCAGCGCTTTGCCAGGTTAGCTTTGCCAGCTGAGGGCTGGCCTGGCTGGCCTTCTGCATGCCTGCAGGTTTGGATTCTGGCTAGCAAATTGGATTCTTATCCTGTTTCCCCAATTCCTATGTGTCCATCACATCAGTGGCCTCTGCTCTGGACAAGTAGAAATAGATCCTCTGCCTTGGGGCATGTCTCTGCTAAGTCCTTGCCTAGTTTAAATGGAGATGAAGCGTGAACTCTTCTCTGCTTCATTAGACCCCATCCCTGTGGTCAGCTGCGTGGGCTGCAGGATTTACCTAGCGATAACATTTTCTTTTCCACTGCTTGTCTCTTGTTAACTTTTATCCTACTCCTAAATGGCTCATTACCTCATGGTCCATCATTAGAATTTGTTCAATATCTTGAAATAGAGGAAGGACAATCTATTCAGAGAGAATAACTGACTTAACAAAAATCCATGCATTTGCCTTCTCTTAAGGAGTACTAAGGACAGAATTTGTCAGTGTGTTTTCGACAGTGATTCAAAAGCTAAGACTGGAACGCTGACCTCTTTCATTGCAGCTAAAGGGCATTAGCATACAGTGCCCCTGACTTCATGAGTTGAAGTATTTTAACAGTCAAAGCTACAGAATTCTACAGGTCTACAGTTTTGTGCAGAGTTCTGAAAAGCTTGTTTATTTTTTGTGTAAGAACCACAGTGAGCCTCACAAATAACCTTGCAGCCAACACTCACATGAAGAACTGATGCTCAGAGCGATTTGACACTTGGAATCCCTTCCATCCTCATTTGTTGTTTTTCATCTTAAAAGGTCAGGAACACACTCAGTTCTTCAGAAGAAGAAACCAAGGATAGGGGATTGTATTAATTACTTTTCTTGGTGCTGTGAGAAAATATCTGACCTAAGCCGCTCAAGGGAAGTGTGATTGATTTTCGCTCGTGGTCTCTGGGGATTTTAGTCCATGACGTCAGGGAAAGTGTGGAGGTGGGAAGGGTTTGGTCCTACGGGCAGGTGTATGAAGCAGCTGGCTTTACTGTGACAGGCAGTAGAGAATGGGACCCATAAGGCCAAGCTACAGACCTCAAGGCTTGTTCCCAGTGACTCACCTTGGCCAATCATGTCCCTTGTCTCAAAGGTTCTAGAATCTCCCAAGCAGGGTCACCATCTAGAGATCAAATCAACAAACCCAGGAGCCAGTGGAGATTCTGGGGACAGTTTACCTTCACACCATGACGACGATAGTAAGTTACCTATAGAGCTGGTCAGAGCTGACATGGCAGCCAGATTCAGGTACTTTGTCCATAGCACTGCCTCTGATTCTACACATCTGTTTCTCTATATGTTCCTTATGTAGTTATTCCCATGGTCTAGTTCTTAACTGAAATATCCAGGGTTGGCTTTTATATATTTAATTATAGGTTAGCTTTTGTCGGTTTTAAAAAATTACACAAAAAGGAATCTATTTCTTGGGCTGGAGAGATTGCTCAGCGGTTAAGAGCACTGACTGCTCAGCTAGAGGTCCTGAGTTCAATTTCCAGCAACCACATGGTGGCCCACAACCATCTGTAATGAGATCTGATGCCCTCTTCTAGTGTGTGTCTGAAGACAGCTGCAGTGTACTCATTCATATAAATAATAAATAAATAAATCTTTTTAAAAAAAAAAAAACCAATACAGCCTGAGGAAAAAGAGCAATCTATTCCTTCCCTGTTTATGGTATCCCTACCCAAATATTTAATCTACCTACCTTAAACATTAGAAATTCTGATGTAAAATCCTGCTTGCATTATAAGCAATTCTCTGAAATAATGAAGACTAATTTCATACCATGTCTTCTGAATATTCAAATGTTGGAAATATACTTTCCCTGTGTCCTTCAAGCATCTACTTATCCCAGAGACCAAGCTAGAAGCTGAATACAGAGATGAATAACATCTTGTCATCCTGTACCATTTTTCCAACTTGTCTGTCTCCCTTCTTCATCAAACTTGGGACAACAGTGAGAATATTACTAAGTTATACAGATAAGAGAGTGAACACACAAAAAAAATCAAACCTCCACATTTTTGATGCCCATATCTTTGCTTTTGTCATATGTGAATCTTATAGCTGGAGGGTGAGCAAGGAGATACCAAGGACAAAGTTGCATACAAGTTGTGAGTTCAGTAAGTGACCTGTGCCACTTGATAACTGGAAAGCATGTTTTATAATAAAACATTGAATTCTTTGATAAAGATTCTCATTCAATATATAAATATAAAGTCATGGTTTGAAATGTGGTTCTGGTGGGAGATATTATATTTAGATAGTCATTTTTGCTTCCATACATGTTTGCTGTTATCTGATTTAACTTTTATCTGTGTCATCCAAATTAACTGTGAAGCAGAAGTGTGCAGGCTTGTTAATATCACCACACCTCAGACTTTCTCACACACTGTTTAAAATCATGTTGAGGCAGCTATAAATTATTCCTAGAGACTGCTCCCAATAGCAGCACTATGTATCTGTTCTAGTCACCACGAGTTCATTTGGTAGACAGGTTTTCAGTTTCTAGTTCATTCCTAAAGGCACATCCATCATGCCACATGCACATGCTTCATGCACATGCCACATGCACATGCCACATGCATGTACATATGCTAGAAGGCCAGCATGTCTGCATTTTCTCAGTGAGCTTTGTACAAGGCACAGTAGACTTGAGAGTCATTCTAAGTTTATCCACACTTAGGGTCCTGCTTTTAATACGGCAGAAAGTTGCTTAACTGGAATGAAATGCAAATCATGAAAGAAAAACAAAACAAAAAACAAATAAACAAAACCCAGGATTCTCCGTGCGTGGAAAGTGAGAATATAAATCACTGAACTACGCCAATGTCTCTCAAAGCCTTTGAGCCCATGTGTCTTGTTCTGACATCCAGATGGATTCTGGTCATCACAGTTTTGGACCCAGCCAGACGCTAAAGATAATTTGGGGGGCTGTTTCTCAGTTGGGAAAGACTGTTTGTCCAGTAAGTGCTATATAGGAAAGGGACATACACAGTAAAGAGTGGGAGGCAACCTTTAGAACCAGACCACTTTTCCATCTCCTTCTCAAGGATCCTCATATACCCGGTTGCATTATTTTAAGCCAATATACACACAGAGCAAAGGTACAGTTATTCCACTTCCCCATGATGTTAGAAGCCTATAGGTTCCACACTGCTTGTGCAAAAAATAAATAAGGAGGCATCTAAGCATCAAGGAACAGAACATAGGTCTTCTCAATAAGTGTGTGGCAGTTAATATTTATTAGAGTTTCCATAGAAGTTTTTTAAAAAAAGTATATAAACTGCTTTTTCTTCTATTTTATTTTATGACCATGTTAACTTAATTAACCCTCCCCCATAAGATTCTGCAAAAGAAGCCAGATTTCTTTTTTTTTTTAAAGAGGGTAAAATAAGAACCAAGATTCACTTCCCCTTAAATTAAAATACCATAGAGATTTGAGTTCTCTTATTTGGTGTTTCCCATTGGAGAAGTAAATTTTTTTAACTGAATTATAGACTTCACGTGACTGTACTTCTTTTCTAATTATTTGCATGTGTTTCATCACTCACTAGTTCTGCTAGTCTGTGGATGTTCCCGACCACATAGTAATTAATGACAGAGGGGAGACAACTCTCCAGGGAACAATTGACATTTTAGAAATCTTCAGAGGAAGAGCAGATGTAGCCCAGTGCCTGACACATACTCTTCCATCCATCTCTACCAGATGCTGGCTCCCTGCTTCTTTCTGCACAGATCCCCCAGTCTAGGGACCAGACAGGCATGACCTTTGTGACTCTAGATGTGTCTGCCGTGCCTGGAGACAGGGTAACGGGGAGGTTTCTGCTGTTGCCAATGACATTCCCAAGAGAACGAACAGGCCTTTCTGGAGAGCCCAGTTTCTTTGAATAGAACAAACTCACTGCCAAGCCAAGCTGCTGCTCATTGCCAAGTAAAAGGGGGTGAAAGGGAATGCCAGCTCTTCCTTAGTTTATTTATAGTGTGTGTGTGTGTGTGTGTGTGTGTGTGTGTGTGTTATATGCATGTTTGTGCTCTTGAGCATGCAGAGCCCAGAGGAGGGCATTGCATGTGTCGCTCTGTCATTCTCCAGCTTCTTCCCTTGGAACAGGGATTCTGGTTGAATCTGGAGCTAGGCTGGTGGCCAGAAAGTCCCAGTGGTGCCCTTGTCTCTACCCCTCACCCCAGCACTAAAGTTAGGGTAGCTCCCAAAGGCAAGCGTGTAGCCACTCCCCTTTAAGTGGGTGCTGCAAATTTAAAGTCAGGTCCTCTTGCTTGTGCTGCTAGGGCTCACCTACAGAGCTGGCTCCCCAGCTCCCCTTGCCCCTTCCTTAGTTTTAACCATTCTCTCATATGCTTTGAAACACATAAATAAACCTTAGACACTAGGAGACAAATGTTTTCTCTGCCCTATCCCACACACTGGGTTCTTAATCTCTCCCTTCATGAGAGCATTCCCTTCTCTTCTTCTTTTCTTTTTTTAGCATGAGGCTGGCAGGGTTGCCAGGTTATAAGCTGGGCTCTGCATTTCTCTGTAGTCCAAGCAGGTCTTGAACTTGTGATCTTCCTGACTCAGCCTCTCAAGTAGCTGAGGTTGCAGACCTGTACTCTCAGCTTCCACTAGGGTTCTGCATTTCCAATTACATACGGGTTATATTCCTTCTGGGAAACAATGTCCACCCAGCAGTTGCCAAACCTACCAGTAGATACAAGTCTGAACAGCCTGGCTCTGCTGCTTATATAGACTTAAGTCATTCAGCTAAGTTCATAAAACTGGAACTGAGTACCTTACTAGTCTGTGCAAAATGGACATCATAATTCCTGGTTTGTAGCATTCTCATGGTCACCAGTCTACGTATTAGCTGCTCAGATTTGTGGTTATTGAAAACAAAATAAAAATATACCAGTGTTTAACAATGGGCTGCTTTTAGGAATAAATAATACAGAATAGAAGTCATTGAAATCTTTTTGGTAAGTATATACTTGTGACTATGCTTCTGCATATCTGCCTTCAATGCATTTTTATTTCATGGTCAGTAGGGCCAGCCAATAATTTACATCATTTTTCGTCTCTCTGAGATGGCCACAAAGCTCTCAATTTAAAGAATTCATACAATGAACAAGAATTACTCATAGTAACAGTTTTCCGGTTGGAGTAAAGATATTCCAGAGACGGGAATATCTTCAAGTGGCCATTGATAGAGAAAGTTTATTCAGTTTCTTCTTTGAAGCACACATATCTAAATTGAGATCACTTGAAACAAGTCCTGCCACACTGGGCAGTTAGCCTAAAAAGAAACACTTGGGGAATTTGCAGCCCAGCTGGGTTTGCAAGATGCATAAGGTACCAGATTCACGCTGCTCAAATTGGCATTGTAAATTGGCAGGGCTATTTGCATACATGCATATTTTTTTATTTTTAACAAACTCTTTCAGAGATGAAGCCCAGGCCTCCTGGTTAAAAAGTAGAAAGAATTTTAGTCTTAGCCTTGGTTCATACTGATGACTAGCTCCACACTAGGTTGCAAGAATCTGAGGTGTGTGCTTCCTACTCAAAGGGCTTTGTAAGATATTACATGTTGACCGAAATTGTGAGGTATGATTGGTTAGCATTCTGCTATCATCAGTCTTCCAAATGTTGTCGTGCAATGCAATTTTACAACTCTATTCTAAGTGCAACTCAGAAAATCCCTTTATTTAGTTACCAAATTACTTCCCTTTCTCCTGATCTCATAGTAATGATAATACCCTTTCTTTTTTTTGTAAGATGCTCTGCTTTCAAAGCTGTTCCTGGCATTGTTGTGTGTCCAGCCAATAACACAATGGTCTATTCATTGTCATAGAGCAGAGTCCCTGGAACCAGCCTGCCTTGATTTGTATTCATATCTATACACTAGCTCTTTGACCATCTGCAAATATATTGGCCTAGTCTTTCTACTTGATAAAATGAGGATGAGTGTATGCATACCATAGGCTCTGCAATTTTAGTGCTAGAATTACTACTTAGGAGGAATTCAGTACATAGTATATGTTCATTATCCACTGGCCAGCATCATTATAATTGATTAGTTTTTGCTTAATGACTCTGAAGCGATTCAGTGATCTGTTGTTTTCTACTAACCATTCTTCATAGCTATAGCTGACTAATCCAAGTTGATCTTTTCCATACATGTCAACTAAAAACCTAGGGAGGAAAGTGAACACAGTTTAGGAAGGGACCAGGCAGAAGTTGAGTGTGCAACTAAGGGCAGGATTTGATACTTTCAATAATGCATTTATTGAGAAGTAAAACATCATACACACATTTGTTTTAAAATATTGAGATTTTTAGATCATAGAGAGCAATGGCTAATAGTGGGAAGGTGTTATGAATATGACCAAACATATTTTGATTTTCCAAAACTCAGACAGAAGGAGATCTCCTGTCACTAAAGCTATGACCTCCTTTGAAACAATATGATACAAAGTAACAGCCAGTGGTCACCCAGCATAGACTGTCTTATGGCTGGTTCTGTCCTCAGCCAGGTCAATTCTTCCTGTCTTCATTCTTGACATGAGTCTGACCTTTGATAAAGAAAAGTTTAGTTTTTACATTTATAAAACATGTATTTACCTTGTGTCTCTATTTGTGTGTGTGTGTGTGTGTGTGTGTGTGTGTGTGTGTGTGCACGCACATGCGTATTTATTTAAGTCTGCCATAGTGTGCCTGTGAAGGCCAGAGAACACTTTGTGGGAGTCAGTTTTCTCCTTCTACCACATGGTTCCAGGAATCAAAAGTTTGTCACTGTGGGCAGCAAGCTCCTTCCCCTACTGAGCCATCTTGCCTTACCTTAAGCGTATTTTGGTGGGTGCAGGGGCCCAGTAGTACTACTGATTGAACTTGTGTTTGTGTGCATGTGAGGCAAGTGTTCTGCCACTAAGTTATGTCCTCAGTTCAGGAACTTTAAGTCAACTTTTCAGAAAGCCCTTACAAAATAGGTATACTTTTTTTTTTATAAAAACCAAATTATTTTGATTTGCTTGTCTGCTACATTCTTAGCTCAAGGACATTTAATCATCTTTCCAAAAGCTCATACAAAATAGGTATGCTTTTGTAAAAATCAAATTATTTTTTTTGTTTGTCATCTTTAAGAACTGAGAATACCATCAGTGATGGGGGATTAAACGTTCCAACCCATATTAGGACTTCAAAATGAAACTGGTCTTTTAAATGGAAGAAAGCAAAACTCTTTGAAGGCTTACATGTAAGCACAATTGCTGTCTTGCCCACTACCCTAGGACAGAAAGAAAAAATTAGAAAAGTCCTAAGGCTTACGGCCCATCAAATTGCCTTTAGCAATTTAAAGCTTCTGTTTTTAAGGGGCCTCCAAGAATCCTTTGAAAATGGAAATCATCTGTAGCAATAGTTTGGAAATCATCTGTAGCAATAGTTTGGCAGAGCACCCTTACCACGCTGTCCCACACTTCTACCAATAGAAAGGAAGCAGACCCGGTGAGCTAGAGAACCTAGGGAGTGGGGGAGAGGAAGCGGGTGCTGATGAGAGAAGGCAGGCCTTGATCATCCTTTATGTCATCCTCTGAGTGCCTTTAAACTATTCCATCTGTCTCCGTTCAGCTCAGTGTGTTGCAGAGAGACCTTCCCTAGGCTTTGTAGTGGGCACATGTCCAGTATTCTAGCACATGGCTTCATTCATGCATTTTCCTCGAGATTCGTTTCTTGGCAAACTGTGTACCTACTGTGTGTGTGTCACAAATGTGATGAAGAAAGTGGCAGTCAGGAGCCTCCCCTACCTTCCTCCCCCCCGACCCCCCGGCTGTGTCACAAAAAGATTTTGGATTGTCACTCTCTGAGCCATTTAGGGTCTCGCTGTTATGGATGCTCGTGGAGCTCTGCAAATTACATGACTTTTCAGTGTTGTGTGCATCTGGCTGGATTCAAGGTTAAGCCTATCCTAATTGTGCTGCAACTCTGTGCTGCGACTAAAATAAAAGGTGCTGCCCTTTGAACTAACAGCCTTGAGAGGACTTTGCAGTAACAGTACAATCGCCTGGAGATGGGGATTTAAACTTTTTTAAAAACCTGATCACATGTGAGGTTCCATTTGATTTTGCTCTATCAGTCAAAAGCAATTGAGTGAAGAGAAAGAAGCTCTCCGTGATATAATCCTTCGGAAAGAAAACCCTTTCCTGACCCACCAACATGGCAAAGATTCAGAGTCGGAAGACGAAGCTGCGTGCCTACTGCCTGACCTTGAGAAAGATGACTTTGCTGCAAGGAGGGCAAGGATGAACCAAAGCAAGCCAATGGTGCCACTTAACCAACTGCTCTATGGGCCTTACAGAAGAAATGATGCAGAGAGGGCGGGTGGCAGCAAACAGCTCGCAAAGGGGCCGTCAGGCAAGAAAAATCTAGACTATAAAAGGTGTGCGCTCTGTGTGTGTCTATCTGAAAAAGAGCATCCTTAAGCAAAAATGACGTGTACATGGTTCCCATACCTCTCTTTCCAGCCCCTGGTCTTGTAAATTTGAATCACTAACCAACTAGATATGACCAACTCTCTTTAAGAGAACAACCAATACTTAAGGGTGTTCCACTTCATTCAAAGGGCACAGAAAACAACCACTGCCTTTCTATTAGTCTCTTGAGTTAGGAAGTTTTAGATGGAAGGAAAGGAGCAAATTCTATTCTTGCCTCTATTACACAAACAAGATAAATAATGGTTTTTTTTTTTTTTTTTTTTGTTTTTTTTTTTTTTTTTTTTACCAAAGACAAAGCAAGGGCTAGGTAGATAGCTCAGTGATTGTGATGTAGGTTTAATGTCTGGAGTTCAGATTCCTAGAACCGTAGCATAAGTGTCTAATCCCAGTGCATTCTTGCCTATCAGGCAATGAGAGGTAGAGACAAGAGAATTGTCAGAAACTTGCAAGGCAGCTAGCCAAGCATGTATCAGTAAATATGACACAGCCTGTCTCAAACAAGGGAGAGGGTGAGACTCAAACCATGAGGTTGTCCTTTGACTTCCACATGTATGTCATGGCTCTACTCTGTGCTTACAGTCACTAACCCAGAACAACGCTATGAAACAGAGTGAGACTGGATGTTGAAGCTTCCTTTCAGAATCAACTTAAATGTGCTCTCTACATTGGCAGTTTACATTTGAGATGTTTCACATCTGAGCCATGTTCCTGCTATCTCCAAACTCATCCTAGAGTTTGGATCATGCCAAGCTCATTATTGACATTTATTGATGCAGGAAAAAAAAAAACATTCTAAGGGGGACTAGGAGAGTCAATCAGAAAACTCATGGTCATTGTAGGGACTTGAATACTGTGGGAATTGGGCATAGTTACTGTCAAAATGAAATCTCATTACCATTCTCAGCAGTCTTTCAGCCAGCCTGGCTTTCCTACTTAGAGAAGTTAGAGACTATCATGCACTGAAGAAAAAAAAAATTGCCTTATTACAGATTAAAAGTGTAGTACGAAGGACCAAAGATGTAGCTCAGCAGTAGGGCAGTTATCAAGCATGTGCAAGGGCCCAGGTTCCATCCTATGAAAGTACCCACAGCTCTTATTAATCTCATGTTTCCTTGAGAAAGGAAAGAGTGTCCTGTCATTTTGCTCTGTCTCCTCCTCTGAGTTTCCGTACTTGACATTCTGTTTGTCTGCTCCCCTCTCCTTGAACTTGACTTATCCAATGATGTGGGGGCCTAAATCAAATCAACAGAGACCAGGAACAGAGAGATGTGAACACAGTAGTGACCTGTGTCCTGCAAACCCAGGAGGGTGAACCACTAGAAACGAATTTCAGGAAAGCACCAGATCTTCAGAAGGATGACCTGGCTCAGAGAAGAATCCAGGGCAGACTTACCTCTCACCGTGAGGCTCCAAGCTTCATCAAACTCTCTAGGATTACAGAAGCTGACCTGGAGACTTGGGAGAGATTGAAAGTATCAGGAGAGACAAGGTGTGTCATGGTTTAACCCCTGACAGTGGTAGGATTTAACATTTAGAGAATTGAGCAGTTTCTCTTGTTTCATTTTCTGTTTTGATGGCTGGAAAGAGTACCTCTTGAAACACAGAGTGTCTGGAAGTGAGCACGTTCTGCGTGAGAGGAAGCATTAATACCAAAAGCCACGTTAGCAGAAAACATCTTCTTTACCCAGCTGACTTTCTGCGAGTGGTTATTTATTCTCCTAGACTTGCTTACTATAAAGAATTTCGACTTGAATTTTGAATAACTAACCATTTCACTGTGCCTACAGTTTTCTTATACTGTCAATTGTGGTATTGCAATTGATGCTCTGAAATCAATAGAAATGTAAAGTACTACTTACCAAGGCAAGAACAGTGATCATTTCTTCTTTTGAATGGTTGATGGGAAAGCCATTGGGTTCTAGCCATGGTACTATTGTTCATATATCTACTTTTGTCTTTTCAACCTCATCTTGATTTGTACTTGCCTTGGAATCCCTGGAACTGATTTCTGGTTCTGACCAGGGATGGAGATGCTCAGAACACCTGTGCTCCTGAGCCCTCACCGGAAATCGACGCAGAAACCGCCATCCGGGATGACTTTGCCAGCCGTAAAGCAAGGTCCTATAAGAAAGCATCCGGCCCCAGACAAAAATTTGTACACTTTGGGCCTGTGACAGAGATAGACCAACAAACTTGGAAGCGGCTCAGCATTGGCAAGGCGGGGCCTAGGAACAATGTGGAGGTTCTCAGTCATAGCAGCCAGAGCCGAACTTCCTCTGGGTCACCTCCCTCTACAGCTACTTTTGGCTTAAAGGAAGAACAAATGCTTAGTCCACACAGTGACTGCAGGTATTTCCCCCACACCCCCTCCGGTACAAAGAGGTCTGCATGGGAATCAAACACTGCTTTTAAAGTTGGCTGGGGCTAGAGATATAGCTCTGTGGTAGAGCATACATATGCTTAGCGTGTGCTAGATCCCCAACACCTAAATCAAATCAAAATCAAAAATAAAACAGAAACCAACCAATCTACAAACAAACAAAAATCCAAGAGTTTGATGAGTTATATTCCACAAAGCTCTAGAGATGACATAAATTTGATAGACTCTTCCACAGGACAGCAGAAAAATTGTGTTGAGGGCCCATCGTTGGGGAAGCATGTGTGTGAGACTGGCGGGTGTCTATCTCTAGTCTGTTTTTATGGGAATCAGTGCCGGAGAAGGCCAGGAATATCTACAGCCATCCCTTTTGGCCTAACCCTTGAGCGTCATCTTATTATTTGAACCGCTTGAAAGAGTCAGATGAATGTCATAATGATTCTGCTCATGTCTTCTAAATACATAAAACCCAATGTATGTGGAACAGCGTCTCCCTTTCCTGTCCCACAGGTACCTTGTAATTGAGTTTTGGACATCCAAAACTAGACCCATAAAAGGGGGCTCTCTCTTCTCCTCAGCTTTCAAAGTCTCCAGTAAGTCAAGACTGGGATAAGACTAGAGAACGAGTCTCTCTAGTCAAGATTTCTTGAAGACAGCACTGCCCCAGACTAGGGAACCAGCTCAACAGCCTTAAAAATCCTTTCTTCTCTGGAGGCCCTCCATCCAAAGCCCTATTCCAGGGTTCTGGTCCATCTTCTGGTTTCCATTCTCATAGGCAGAAGTAGGACATTTCTATGTATCTTGTTTGTCCTAGAACCTCCATCCCACCTGCCTGGTAGGAGTCATATGAAGTTCTTTGAGAGGAAAGAAAACATGGAATTCATCCTAATACTTTGTCCTTGAGACCCAAAGGAAGTAGGAGATGCTCCATGATCTGTAGAGCAGTCTCTTGAGCTCTAGACTGGTTGACACCATAAAAGAGGAAAAAGCTGTACACAACAATGTGTCAGGAACAGGTGGTGAGGCTTCCGGGGCTCAGAGTTTGAGAGAAGGATGAGGCAGAAAACTCATGAGAAATGCAGCCTGCAGTCCTCCAGTGCACACTGGGCTACCAGTTAGTTCTGCCATGACTAGGTAACACCATGCCCCCTTGGTGTGTTTCAGGCCTTTGGAGCACTCCCATTCTACCCTTTAAGTCTGATTATGGCACCTTTACTAACTGGCCCATGGATTGACAGCTCGGCATCTCTCTTCATCTTTCGGTTTCCTTTCATAACTCTCTTCCTCTTGCCTCCTGTCACCAATGCTACCCGATTAACACTAGGACAGTGCCTTCTGGCACAGATGGCTGTCTCAAAAAGGCCCCATGGCTGGCGCCAGTGCTGGAGTCTCAGGAAGAACAGGTCTGCCTTCAGAGCAACAACTCAAAGACAGAGGAAGGTGAGGCATAGCATGTCCTGCCTCCCGGGAAGTGATGGGTGACAGGCAAGCAGGCTATTGGTAAAGTTTTTTTTTCTCTCTCTCTCCCATAACAAAACTATCCTCTTTGGCTCTAGCTACACCCACACAGCTGCCACAGGATGGCAGAGAACAAACTGAAGAAGTTGTTCAAAAAGAGCCTGAGATGCTGCCAAGGGTAAAAGAACCAGAGGAATGCAGCGGACCCCAGTGAGCCTCCTGCCTGCGTTATGTGTTGTGCTGCCTCTGCTATCTGTGGCTGCTGTGTGCCTAGATAAGAGCTGAGCATCCGTGTGTGCCCTTGATGACTGAGTCAGTGGGAAGTGAGCTTGCTTAAACTGATGCAGTCATCATAGGATAGGAGTTGTGCTTCGGGGGTTCACTCTGGATGGAGATTTTAGCCTTTGCATTTGACTGGGGACTGGTTTCCTCCTCACTAATTGTGAAAATCAGAATTGGAACCATTTCCAAGTACCAGCTGCGTGACAGAGGCCTCACTAAATTAAAAGGGGGATTTCCTACACAGCTGTTCCATCTCCATGCACTTCTGCCTTGATGAATGTCAGTGAGTGGCAGAACTGAATTCCTTTAGCTGTAAATGGTCTTTAACTGGTTGGACCAAATGTTGCCCTAGAGCATGTCCTCTGGCCTCTGAGTGGGAACCCTTGGGAACAGAAGTGAAGTTGGAGAAGAAAACAGCTCCTTCCTGGAGTGGCTGTGGACTGGAAAGGCCAGAATAAGATGGCTGATTCATGAAAAGATAGTATGATGATCAGGAGAACTGAGATGCTCTCTAGACACCCCAGATCCAAAACACCCCATTTCTTTTTACACAACAGTAGGGAACTAGGAATCTGCCAAGGGTATACCCAGGAATGACCAGAGGTCAGGTTATCCTGTATCCCTGTGACTGTTTCTCCAGTCAAGGCCTTGGCATGTACTTTGAGTGTGTTAGTAATGCATCACGGTGTATCAAAGCCACTTACCTGCTTCTGCTAGAAGAAATGAAGTGATTGACACTGGCCCCCATCAATCCCAGAGTTTCTCTCGTTTGCATGTAAGCAGGTATGAAAAAGAGGAGTCTAATAATGAGTTTACCCATTAACCATTCTTTCTGATCTTCATTCTGTGGGAAGAATAAATGAAAAACTGTTCTTCCTGGATAGGCAGAGGAGCAAAGGACTCCTTCGGCAAAGGAGTCAGACTTCTTTCCAACCTACTTGATTTTATGGATTTCAGGCCTACGAGGACAAATGACATTTATAAAACTTGCAATGTTTTCAACATTAGCCAGCCTCACTGCCATCTGGTGGCAGGATTTCTGTTCCACTTTCTGACTTGATTTAAGAACCCTGGAATTTCAAGGTCCTGTGTGTGGAAGCTGCTGTTACCAGTTAATGATATATGTGTTTGTAAGTGTAGTCTACCTACCTAATGTTGGGTGACAAGAGGAATTCTCTTAAGCTCATTGTGAAACAGAAAGTACTGGTGTTCTGCTTCCCAAAAGCCTTGGATGGCACTGGGTCAAGGGCACAATGGAGGCCAGGAAGAATATTAATTAATCTTACATTTTTAAAGTCAGTATCCTAGCCACCTTTATTGGCTGAATTGGACAGTTTCTATCCTTTTGGATAGGAGTAGTAGTCATCGTCTTGTTACCATGATGCCCACGGAGCAGAGACAATAGCAGTGCTTCACACCACAGACATAGAGAATATGTGTCCCCTTTGGTGTGTGTCTGCTCCCCCTCTAGCTCACCTCCGGAAAAATCACAGGTAGGTTGAGTGGATATTTGCTCATTTCACAAATGAGAAATGTCAAAGGGAGAAAAGTTAAGTAAGTGTTGAATCCCATGCAGTTTCCAGGTTGACAAAGGACTGAATGGTCAACTTGGCTCTCTCTTGTCAACTCACCTTCCAGATATCCGAACCTGATGCTTTACTCTGGATCTGTAGGCTGCCGTGGAGCAAGCCAGAGTGACAGAGAGGAAGGAGGCAGGGCCTGCAGGCTGGCCACTGCATGCTTCCTGGGTGCATTCCTGTTTTTCACAGCCTTTGAGGGTATGAATTTCCATCACAATTGGGAAACCAAACTTCATTCAGTACACGGCCTAGAATTCAAGCACCAAGATTTTAAACTTCGCTCTGAGTGGAAAACCACGTTTTCCCTTCAAGGCATTGCCTATACTAGTAACAAGAGGAGTCACAGAGACCTGCTTGAATTCCTACTGCTTTCCATTAGTCAGCTGTTTGTAGTTCATATTAGGATAAATAGTCAGTGTAAATGAAGAGAATCATTAATTTTATGGCATACTTCTCTTTCAAAAATGTTTGGGGTGTGTGTGTGTGTTTCTGTGCTTGTGTGCATCTGTGCATGTGAGAGAGGGAGAGGAAGAGAGGGGGGGGGAGAGGGAGGAGAGGGAGAGAATGCCCCCATGCCAGTAGAGGTCAAAGAACAGTCTGTGGGAGTTCCTTCTACAATATGAGTTATAGAAAACTCAGGTCAACGGGCTCGGTGGCAAGCCTCTTTCTTTACCTCCCAGTCCAGGACATGCTTCTTGATTGAGCCAACCCACGCCCTGAGAATTCGTGTTTCCTTTTAACAAGTGTTTATTGAGTAATTGCTATGTGCCAAACACAAGACTGAGTGTTCATCCTAGATGAGTGGGTGAAGCTATTTTTCTACTCTCACTTCAAATTAGGTCAAAGTACAGGGATCTACCACTGAATAGATTCCAAGGTGATCTCTTAGGGCCGGGAGTTGTATGAACATAATCAGTCAGTATATGCCTTGTTTCCGTCACCCTTCTGAGTACTACTACCCTCAGATTGGAACTTCATTAATTGACTTTTCTGGTAGGCTGCTCATTCCAGGTCATCAATTCTATACCCTATAGCATTAAGAAATTCTTTACCCAAAGTATCTCCTACTTTGCGTTTAAGGAGAGAGACAGACAGACAGAGAGATAGAGGTAGAGATAGAGACAGATAGATAGATAGATAGATAGATAGATAGATAGATAGATAGATAGATAGACAGAGACACAGAGTCAGAGACAGACAGAGACCCCAGACCTGTTTGACAACTGAAAAGGCCCCTTGAAGCCAATTGCTAATTATCTTCCTCTTATCAGCAAAGGCAGTCTTACTTACATCCGTGCCCTTTTAAAACTAACAAATCCATCTAAGAGGAAACTCCTTAGGTCCACGAGCACACAGAAAATGTAGAAAAGAAGGTAATCCTCAGAGTCTGCTGCTCTTGCCAGTATCCCAAAACACCTCTCGAGGGCCTCCTCTGGCCACTGCTGAGGGAAAATAATCAGAAAGCTTCTTGTACGGTGAGACTTAGTATTTGGTAAGAATCTGTTACCAGCAGAGTCGTCCTCGAATGCTGTTAATTGTTCTGTGAAGAAACAACTGAAGTTCAGATCTATCCCAAAGCTAACACTGCTAGCTAGGACAAGACTGTGTGTGCACCATAAGTTCACTTTCTGCATTATGTTGTACTTAGATAAAACGGATAAATCTGGATATCCAGATAGAGACACAAAACCATACAACTGTTAGTTAACTATTTCTCCATTATTTATTCATCAAGAATAATTTCTCTTTCAGAGATGGGTTAGCAAGTGCCGCATTTGAATATGAGTATTCTAACGGGCCCTTTTACTAACTAAACTTCAGGTATCCTGTTCATGTTTTCTCTCCTGGTGGGAAAGAATCCCCTCATCACTTGCTTCACAGTCACAGGATTTGGGGTACACTGAGGCTCTTACTTAAACCAGTACCTTTTGGAAGTGGCCCCTGGAGAACAGAATGAGCCTTCTACCAGCAGGAGCATAGTCTCACAGCCCTTAGGTTGGCTTGCTTGTGTCCATTCCAACAGAAAGCTGGGGTTTTACCCACAGATTTGATAACTGAAAAGATTCCTTGAAGCCAAGTGCTAACTACCTTCTTATGGGCAAAGGCAGTTTTACTTTACAGGTTTTCCCTGTGAGTTAAATAGTAATTGTCAATAAATGTAGAATGTTCTAGAATGATGAAAGTTGAAAGAAAGGAGTGTGTGTGTGTGTGTGTGTGTTCATGCATTGTTGTGGCAATTTCTCTAAAATTAGAGGAAGAAACATTCATAAATTACCTGATAGGATATGGATCATGGGACAAGGGAATGTTTTGCTGACAGGGTGTGACTTCTGGGAAGCTAGAAGCAGGATAGAGTCTCCTTACAGCAGTGATTCTTTATCTGCATTCAGAACACAGACGTGAGCAGCCTTCCGAGAGCAGAAGAGGACAGTGCCTTTAAAAGCTCTCACCCTTGCTGAAGGGACACTTGATCACGGGAGCTGATGATTCCGATGCTTTCAGATGCATGCTTCCATACAGTGCTGCTCTCACCTTTAACTCTTTTCCATTGTGTAGCTATGTTTGGGCCTAACATAATCGTATCTCAGAGGATGCAGCTTTAGAAACCCAAATTACCAGAAGAATAGAAAAGATCAGGACAAAGCTTGGTTTTTCCAGCTGTGGGATAGCCTCTGAGTCTGGTTTTGATTAAGACTACCCGTTTTCTAGGAATTGTGGTTTCTGTCAAATGCAGGCGGAAGGTACTGATTGGAGTTCTGGCTGACGTTCTGGGTTTGCTCTTAGGGAAAAAAAAAAACATAGAAATAGGCTTTTATACTGTCTGTGCAAATGCATTAACGCATCAGAGCAACTCAGAGGGTGTGTGTACATTGCATGTCCATTACAGCCCATTACCACCAACACAGAGAGGCATGAGCTGTTTGTGTGTGTGAATAACCGTAGTGTATCTGCATTTTAAGCTGCCTTTTCCAAATACTGTGAGTTAAACCCAAGCTTTTGTTTTTACATTAAACAGAGTTTTCTTCATGGGCAGCATGGGGTTATTTGATTTCTCTTCTGGGTTTTAATACAAGCTTTATACCCTTTGGAGATATGAAGGCTTTGATTTTTTTTTTTTAGTAGCTAATGAATATTGCTAATTGTGTAACGACATTTCTCTTTCAGCACGACCAGCAAAAAGGTTTGGTAGAGATGAATTGATTTCTCCCACAGTTTGTTTTTCCAGGTTGGTCACAGCATCCACTCTCTGTCAGTCTTCTCTCTAATTTTGTATTTGATCTTGTAGATACGGTCCAAGAACTCCTGTGTCAGATGACGCAGAGTAAGTGGCATCGTGTTCATAGGATTACATTAACCACTAGCCTAAACTGCATGCTTCCTGTACTTACCACTAATTGGCATGCAACAGATGCTGCGGCGAGCTGCATAGTAAGCCCGGTGCACAGAAGAGCACTGGGGTGCCACCGGGGCCATGTGTTCTGCGCAGGGGAAGTGATTGAGAAAGCAAGTTACGCATGATGCTAATGTGTAGCTGATGCTTCAGCTTTGCCTCCCATTTTCCATAGCCTGGCATGCTCAAGCCGCTCTTAGGACTTGGTCATCGGTACCCTGCCTGAACCATTGAATTAGGGAAGGGGGTGTCATGAGTTTTACAGTTTAACTCCTAATGCACCAGGGCTTAGCCTAAACAATGAGGTAGTCATTCCTACAGCTGCTTTTTTTTCCAAACTAAAAAAAAAAAAAAACAAATCCTAAACCACTAATTATAGATTCAGAAGCCCACGTCTCTACCAGGTCGGAGTCATATAAACCATGGGATGTTTAAGACCCAAACATTGGGGTTTTGTTCAAGTTCCGTGGCATAGCAAGAGGTCAAGGGTATAAAAGAGGTCCCAGGTTTCTCTGCGTGCTGTTTGCTTTTCTTCCTGAGCAGAGGTCTCTTCCCTACCGGGCAACTCACATCCCAGTTTGAGAAGAATTGTAATCACCAACCGTGACATTACAAACTCTGTTCCAAAGTTGGCTTTCTTGTAAGCAGATCTTTGTGCACCTGATGTACAAGGCCAAAGGTTTTTCAGAATGACCTTCTTCTTGGGTCTGGTCATTGGTCTTCTGAGGAAAAGGATTTAATATTTCATTCTAACACCAGTTGCCTAAAAGCATCACATGGCCTGACAGAGACTTGGCCATCGCCAGAAGGGTGAATGCTGCCTGCTGTCCTGAGCCAACCTCCATGTCTAATCAGGGTGTAGAAGCCACAAATGTCATTTCTACTGATGACAACCATAATGGTATTTAGGCAGAGATGGGGGCTTTAGACAGCTGTTTTCCCATCATGCTTTTCCCCATGTTTATGTTGAGGGAGTCAGCCTAGTTTAGAATCTTAACCCTGCCCTGAGCAGTCATATTCCATCCCCAAGTTCTGATGGGCAGTCTAGAATTATTTAGTTATCTGGGAGATAGAACCTACATGCCCCCAAAATGCAATTAAACCTGTGCTTGACTGACTGCATGTAGTTAAGCAGACAGTAGAACCTGAGACCTGGGTAATACTCTTAAATCCTTCAGTGGCCAATATTTCACATCGCTGACTGGAAGAGGGTGTGCGATTGACAAGCCAAAACCTACTCTGATCTGATGAGCAGCAGTTGTGAAGGATGGATTTATTCCTCACAGACACTCAGCTGTAGTATAATTTGCTCAGAGTTAGATCTTGGGGAAGGAAGCTACATTCAGAAGATTTTAGATCTTGCCTACATTTGCCTCTGAAACCCAGCCACAGAAAAAGTTAGAGACCGTTTAAAGGGATGGGGCTTGGCAGTCCATTCTCTAATATTTATTTTTTAAAAAATGTCCCTATGGACTAGAAAGTCACGGAACTTCTTCTTTAGAGGTTTTATTTGAGAATATACAAAAGTGCCAAATAACCGCTTAGAGTGGGCGCTCTTGACATGAGTCCTGTGGAGAACCAGATCACCAGGCGATATTAAGAGTTAACTTTTAAAATAGAGCTGTGTACTGTCTTTTAGTTTCTTCCCCCTTTCCCTTTCTCAAAACCTTTAATGGCAATTACTGACATAAACTACACTTATTAATTGACATATTCACAAGATACAGCCCAATCAAAAGACAAAATGTCCCAATAAAATAGAAGTCAGGGTAAACCTACCATAGAGATAGTGAAATCTCCACCTTCTAGCCAGTCAGGAATCTGTCATTTTATGTTCACACACATTCTCTTCAATGACACATTGCTCCTCTCCCAACAGGACTCTACCAGAGGGCCTGCATCTTGGGAACGTCACAGAGCATTTTATTCAGAGTTTTCTTACTTCAGATTGGATTTTTTCAGATTCTTTTATGGCAAGCTATTGATATTTCTTTTTTAAAAAATACAAAAAGCCTGAGTGGGGAGATAGTTCTTCCTGGTATAGGAGAGTCCCACCTAATTATCTAGCCTTTGGCCACATTTGGGCTAGAGTAAGTTGGAGCGTCCCAGTGGGAATGGAGATGGTAAATCAAGGCAGAGGAGGTAACTGTGGGGGCTCTCCTGTTCCCTCGATGCCCTGCTGGTGAGTGAGCTGAGTCCCATACTTGGGAGAAGCCACTTATTTCCTTCCCATCCCTGCAGAAGGCAGTGTTCTATAGCCGCCTGCTTTGGCCAACCTGGAACTCTGCCCTTTAGAACGCAGGCAAGCAAAGTCAGTGGCCTCCTCTCTCTCCACAACTTTGTCTACTGGTTTGTAAGACATACAGCTCAGAGACATTTATTCATCTGAAGGCCTTAGTAGAAATTGTAACTTGCCTTAAAATAACTTATATATATTATATACTTTAAAAGTAAGACCCTATCCACTCTCCAAGCATAGGAAAAGAAAGTATACTTAGGGGAGAAAAGAGCATACCATGGGTTAGACTTTTCTACTTAACCATATAAATTCCCAAACTTTTCTTAATGTTAATAAGTACTGTAAATTTGACAAAAAAGATCATAGCCCTTTTCCCCTTTGAGGAGGAAGTTTTATTTTCTAGAAGGCACAGCTGCAAAAACCACATGACCAAGAGAGTGGCAGCTTCCCACCATGCTTTGTCACCTCTGCACTAACAGAAACCTCGGATTAAAAAATTACACACACACACACACACACACACACACACATCCCTGCAGTTGAATTCTTAGAACACTCTGGAGAAAGATAGCCTTCCCGGAGTTTTAATCTCAGGTTAGATTTTAAATGTCTAGCACCTGGAGACAGGAGCCAGGAACCCAACCACTCACGCAGATTCACCCAACAGTGCTGACGCTGTTTGCACATCTGATGATGCTTAGAATCAGTTGGTTTCCAAGTGTATGTCTACTCCCTAGCCTCCCCCCCGACCCCCACCCCCAGTGTTAAGCTATCTTCAAAAATGAATTCGCACCCTCTTCTATACCTAGGGGACTTAGAAGGTTTCTCCTTAACTTTCTTAACTCCTTAACTCCTAAACTTGAGTAAGTTCCTACTTAACTTTCTGAGTATGTGATCCTTGCGGATCTGTTTGGTCTCAGAGCTTGTCCCCGCCCACTTTGGGGCGTGGGAGGGAGCTTTGCTTCTGTGTTACCCTGCTGCTTCAGTGCTTGCTCTTAACAGGTCTGTGTGAGCGTCACAGAAAAGGCTCTGTGATCTTATTAAGCTCCTACAGAATTTATCAACTGCAGGCACGGCCAAAAGGTTTGCTTTTCCTCATTACCCGCCCTTTCCCGTTCCCTTCAAAAAGTAAATTCAGAGGAGTCCCGTCAAAAATAAATCAAAACAATTGGGAACACATTAGGGTGCAAAGTATACTCTCGTTGATATACTTGTTTCATCTTCTTAGTATAAAATGCCTTATTTTCTTGATTCCAAGATGTACTATCAATTATGTAATTTTATTAAAAAAAAAAGAAAGAAAGAAAAAATAGCCACAACACACCCAGCATTAATTTAAATATCCAAAGGTGGTGTCTTAATCTTGATACCCTACGACTTTTTTTTCAAGTGAAGAAATTGTCCCTGCGCATGTAAATCAGGCAAGCTCTTTCTTTTCACCATCAAGTGTAGTGTGAAATTCCACTGCAATGGAATGTCCCCGCCCGCCGCCTCCCCCAACATATATATCCGCCCTAAATTATATACCTTTGAGTGAGAGGAGTGCGGGCCTTTAGATACTTTCTCCTGGCCCTTTTTTCGGGCACCTTTTTACAAAGCTCTCCCATTCAGGGCCATCAATGAAGACAAAGACATCTCCTCTTGGCTGTGCTGCTGGCGGCTGCTTCCCGCTGCAGAGCGAAGAGGCGGCTCTCAGCCCGGTTGCGCCCCCAGGCGGTGGTGTGTAGAGGCGAAAGGAGCCCGCCGCCGGCTCTCATCCTGCTTGCTTTTTGTTTTTGCTCTCTCCTTATCAGGAGCACGAGTATGTTTGACATGCGGTGTGAGGAGGAGGCAGCGGTGCTGCCGCACAGCAGGGCCCGCCAAGAGCAGCTGCAGCTGATAAATAACCAGCTGAGGGAAGAGGACGACAAATGGCAAGATGTGAGTTCTGGCCGAGGCCGCGGGGCAGTGGGGAGGGACTCAGCCGACCACCCGACTGGGAGGGTAACTTAAGACTTCAAAGTCATGCTGGGGAGGGCCGCCCCAGCTTTCCAGACAGAGACTGTGTCCGTGTGAAGATTAAAGGAGAGGTCTGTAGAAACATGGAGAGAGGAGAAACCAACACTGGTGGATATCAGCAGGTACTCTGGACCAAAGCTTGGTCACAAAGAGAAAGGGTGGGAGGCAGGCGTCTAGGATTAGGCGCAGAGCTGTGGTGTGCTGTCTTTTAGTTTTCTATATTTAAGACTGATGGGTGACTACGATGACTGAAGCTGTCAGCGTTAATTGTACCAGTAGCAGGCACGGTTCTAAATGCTGTGCTCTGGGTAATTCGTCGTTTAGTAACTCTGTGTACTAAGAACAGTTATCTTCCAGCATCAGCATCCACAGATGAGTCCCAGCCCAGCTAAGTCACTGGCCAAAGTTCCATAGCTAGTGAGTAGAGAGGCAAGGTTCAAACCAGGAAAGGAAGGTGCCAGAGGCTGGTGAGAGCAAAGAGCTTGGGGTTAGCAGGGAGAGGGGATCATTTTACTTGGTTCTCACTGGGGAGAGGGGTCACTGTTGTGAACCTGACTCTACCATTAGTCAAAAAGTTGACTTCTTCAAAGTTAGCACACAATGTCATGACAATATGTCAATGTGTCTAGCCCCTAAGTGTCATCACATCTAATCCCAAGATTGTAAGCAGGGTTGGATCAACCACCCTCACTTATAGAAGATAAAAATGAGTTCAGAGAGGCCAAGAAACACCAAGCAGTGCACACGCTAAATAGAATTGGGCTATTCCCCAGCTCCAGCTCATCCTACTAACCCAGGGGCCGATCACTGTGCTAATACTACCTGTAGGACAGGTCTCGATGCTCTCCCGAGGACCAGAGGAATTCACACATAGCCTATCAGTGGATCTGTAAGACTCAACTCCAAAGACACTTTTTCTGTCTTCACTTCCATCCAAGAGAAAGCTGTACACGAATCCCTACCATTCTGTTGACAGGATATCTATTTCCAACGGAGAGGTAGAAATAGAAAAAAAAAAAAGAAGTTTTCTATATTACCTTTAAGATAGTTCTGTCAAATTTGCCAAACAACATGACCTTTGATTACATGTGTCACGCCACACTGTCTCAATAAATCGCTGTCCTGCTAATGATAGTGTGCTCACTATGTTTCTTCCCCTGCCTTCTAGGCATCCTTGTTCCAACCAGACTTTCACAGGATTGTGTGGAAGCATCCCAGTATAGTGCCTTAATGCTTATAGGCCCATGAGTCACAGAAAGGGAATTCTGTGCCGGCTGAGAGTGAACATGGTATCTCTCCTCCCCCTCCTCCTAGGACCTGGCTCGCTGGAAGAGCCGTAGAAGAAGTGCTTCTCAGGACTTAATCAAGAAAGAGGAAGAAAGGAAAAAAATGGAGAAGTTGATGTCCGGAGAAGACGGGACAAGTGAACGGAGGAAAAGCATCAAAACTTACAGAGAAATTGTCCAAGAAAAGTGGGTCTTTCTGTTGCTAGTACACAATAGTATCTAGTCATGCTTTCTCTAAGTCATGCTATTGCCAAGGCTCCGATATTACTCTTGATAGTTTGGTTGTAGTCTACCCTGGTGGGAATCTCTACAACTTCCCTAGATGTTTATTGTTCTTCTTCTCACGCCCCATCCTGCAGAGAGCGGAGAGAGAGGGAGCTGCATGAGGCATACAAGAACGCAAGGTCGCAGGAGGAGGCCGAGGGGATCCTCCAGCAGTACATCGAGAGGTTCACCATCAGTGAGGCTGTCCTCGAACGCTTGGAGATGCCAAAAATTCTGGAAAGAAGCCATTCAACAGAGCCAAACGTATCCTCCTTCCCGAACGACCCCAGCCCCATGAAATACCTGCGGCAGCAGTCACTGCCCCCGCCCAAGTTCACTGCCACGGTTGAGACCACCATTGCTCGCACCAGTGTCCCAGAGAGCAACGCAGCAGCAGGCACTGGGTCTCCAAGCAAAACCATCACTCCAAACGCAGTGCCTATGCTGACACCCAGGCCTTACTCCCAGCCCAGAAACTCTCAAGAGGTTCTGAAGACTTTTAAGGTAGGATGAATTCTTTGAGAGGAAAAAAAAAATGGAAACCAAACTGGGTAGCTTGTGGATGGAAGCGTTTTGTCAAACAAAAGCCAAACACAGTTACTGTGGACAATAATGCACATGTTTCAGGAGCTTTGACTTGCAGATACTTAAGGGATGGGTGTTCCTCTCAGTTCTGTTTCTCTTGGTGGGCTCCCTGTGACAGACAAGTCATCTGACAAGCGAGGTCTGTTTTCTGGTTTGATACGATAGTTTCTCATAGAGCAGCGTAAATAAATCCTCATTTTGCAATACTCCAAACCTGTAGTTATCAGGATGCATGGCAAACACAGACTGTATTTGCCCTTCTTTCTTTTTTTTTCGATTTATGTATTTATTTTACATGAGTAAAATGTACATGAGTACACTGTCACTGTCTTCAGACACACCAGAAGAAGGCATCGGATCCCATTATAGACAGTTGTGAGCCACCATGTGGTTGCTGGGGATTGAACTCAGGACCTCTGGAAGAGCAGTCAGTGCTCTTAACCACTGAGCCATCTCTCCAGCTCCTGCCTTTCATTTAAATAGAAAAAATATACAGCTATATCTTATAGGAAGAAATTGACATTATGTCAAAAGAGTTGCTACACTTGAGAAAAATAACACATGAGACACATGTTAGCATGGAGTGTGCTTGTCAGCAGGTAAGGCAGGGCTTTCCTTGAGTGGAAAGCTGGGCTGTATTACTAGAGAGTCTATAGAATCATTTTTGAGAACCAAAAAAAAAAACCTTTGGCAACCAAACATATTTGCGTTTGCTCGTATTCTGGTGCTTTCCGATGTTATGGAGGAACAATCGGCCTGTGTCTTAAGTTCCTCCAGCTCCCAAGAAAAATCAGTTCATATCGTCCTTGCAGAAAAGTGGAGCTCGGCACTAGGAGTTGTTGCCGTTAGGGCTGGTGAGAAGTTTGAACAGCCCAACTAACCGAGCAGTGAGTTCAGTAGACCTTCATTACTGGACTTCGGAGAGAGCTCAAAACCTACTGTCTGACGTTTAAATAAATCTAAGTGTCTGAATATATCTGTACCTTAAGCTTTTCTAGGACAAAAAAAAGATGAATGCTTTGCTGTTTCATCCAGACTGATTTAAAATGTTTGTCCCTAACAGGGTAAAGACTATATTCTTATTCTTCATGGCTTCGTCTTAGCTAAGAGCCTGGGATAGATACCCAGAACGTGGTAGGCATTCAGCAAAAGTGAACAAGTAAATTCTTCCTGAGATTCAAGAGAAATTGAAGATTTATATATACAAAACACACACACACACACACACATGGGTACTTGTGTGCCTAGCAGTGTCCTCAAGTGGCCCAAATATTTGTGCACCTTTTTCCTGGGACCAGGATAATGGACAGTGTAACCATCCATGAAAGCACTATGTTGAGGAGGCTCAGAACATTGGTAGTAATGCATTGATGTAACTGGCTATCTAGGTACCTGACCGCATCATTTAGGGACCCACTTCCCCTTATTTATGTAAATGGTACAATGTGACTTCTCAACAATTAGGACGGAAGAATTTATGACAGAACTTAGGCTCTCATTTTTGTTTTGTAGCTTCTCTCTCTCTCTCTCTCTCTCTCTCTCTCTCTCTCTCTCTCTCTCT